TAAGGAACGGAAGAAAGAAGCAAGGCAATGCAATGCAATGAAGCAGTTAGAGAAGTCGAGAATGACTCCTGCACTGACGCTGTTCGCAAGCTTCTTGTTAGAGGGAGAGGAGATGAAATTGGAAAGGGAAAAGAGAAAGCTGAGCTGTCTTGTCGATGGGACGGGATATTAGATTGCGGATGGATACGTACCTCTTGGTCTATCACCTTGTGATCCATATCCTGAGCTGTTCTTCCCATTTCCACACAGGCACCCAGTCCCAGTGGTGAAAGTGGAGTTTCACCGGCCACTAACATTGCTTTTTCTCCCAGGGCCCTGATGGTCCCCAGCGGTCGGACTGTAGCGACCGTTCCAGGGGGGGCGGGGCTCCTCGTCCACTGTCGCTTCGAATCAGGGGTCTTTGGGCTACGCGCGGGTGGCTTCCATCCCTCCATTTGGTTTTGGTTCTTGGTTAAAGATCCAATGACTGATGGCTCTGCTCTCGCTACTGCGCGGACATTAGACTGCCATTCGATGTCTTGGACCGGAAACATTGCACTATCCTTTACGGCAAGGCAAAGATCAGTCTGGCCATTGAGATGCCCCAAAGAAGCCCTAGACATTGGGCAACATCTGGTTCTGCGTGCGACGACCCGCTGTATGGACCTAAGTAAGGCACTATATGCAATGCACGGCAATTAATGCAAGCCACGACCTGGGTAGCTTTCAGAAGCCTGAAGATCTTTGAGCTACTTTATCCTAACCTCATATTCTCTTGGTTCAGGTCAATTAGGAGCCTAAAGACAAAGAATCAAAGGGCGAAATCCATGCTCGTGGCTGGATCTATCAAATCTCCCGCGGCGCGTGGAAAACGCGTGAAGACGGCCAAAATAAATCCTGATGTGTTGACTTATTACCCCAAATGACCTAGACCTGATTCGCCGCTTTTCTTACCTGGGCAATAGCGTGGTCCCTTCACCATCACATGTGGCGTTAAAGGCGCTTCAACCAATTCCAACGTCTGTGATCAATCATACAAGAACCCAAAAGGCCATTGCAATATGTTCCGACTGATACAGGCCAAGTGTCTAAATCACCACACCATTGCAGGGTGTTCAAGTTTGCATGTGCTGGCGGAATCACGGATGCTTTGTTCTTGATGCGCCGAATGTGTCAATGTGATAGACAGATAATGCTACCTTGGGAGTCAATGATGTGGCATTACGCCGTTGGCAGGACTTCAAGCGTCCATGAAGGACATGAAACGTTATCCGCACACCAACTCAACTGCTGACAATCAATACCAGCTTCTTTTGGCTCCTGATGTCATCAAAGAGAGCCTTGATATGTTCATCATGACTGATTCGCCATCAATGCCAGTTCTGTACTACGTTAGGTAATAATACTCTTTGCCATAAAAATGCATATGTGTAAACCTTCTTTCATTAATCGTATGCAGTTCGCTTGAATTTCAAGAGGCGTATCTGGCATTGTTCAGGGTATCGTAAAAGCAAATGCTCCCAACTCCAACAGTCCCTGATCTTGGTTTCAATCTTCAGCAACACACCATCCAGGCGGCTGGATACCCTTCCGCTCGTACTTGTCTCGCATAATCATCCTCAAATAATTTGACCGCTCTTTCAGCTCATCAGGATCTCGATTAGGAAGGATCCGGTGGAAGACCTCGTAGTTCGGGTGGGATGTGGTTCGGATCAAGCTTAAGAGATGGTCATCTTCCCAGTAGTGCCAGCCATGCTTCTCAAAATAATCATCATCAGACGGCTCTTGCGATCTAATCAAGCCTGACTGACTAGCTATGGAGCGGTAGCTGCGCACTGCCCGCCGGTATGAGCCCGTCGTGGACGGACGCGCCTGAGATGATTCAACCTTCTGCATCGACTGTAGAAAGCGCTGCATCTGCATGTCTTGCATGTCTCTGCGCTGCTGCGCTTCAGCCTCGCGTTCCATTCGTATAGCCTCATCCTTCTGCATAACTTTCTTTCGTTGGACCGGCGCTCTCTTAATGGCATCAATGCTTTCTCTGGCCTTTTCGAGTGATGTCTTGAGCTGCTTTGTGGCTTCCCCGAAAATTCTTCGGTGCTCCTTAGACTTCTCGCTTTGATCACGTTCTCTTGAGGGAGGATGAAGCTCGTACCAGCTTTCCACGACCTGGGAGAGTCTCTGGACCCAGCCTGCAGTCCTTTCCAGTGGCTCTAGTGTGTACACTGTAAATTCTCCTTTTTGAAATCCGAGCTTTTTGGTACTCTCACCAGGTCTTCCACATCCAGCCTGGAAAATTCGATCTAATACCAGAACCAGCATAGGAATGATGCGTCTGTGCAACTTTGTCACATATCGAAAACCACTGCCCACTTGCTTCGCATCGCCCTGCTCCATTATTGTGTTGATGGATGAAATGAACTCGTCAATAGCCACGCGAAGTGTGGTGTATAAACTGCTGAGCTGGGCTGTGTGCTCGCGAATATATTCCAACTGCTGTGATATCGATGATGACGGGATCTCTTTACATAGTTCATAGAGACTGTAAAGTTTGGCCAAGATAAGCCTCGATCGCACACATCCGCCCTTTCCCAATGCTTCAGAAGCTGTTTTTGCGGACTCGAGAGCATCGTTCTGCCACTTTCTTCCATTCATCCACCCTGAGAAAGTTGTGTACCAAACAAGTTTCTGTACTGTATCTCGCCTTACCCAGGCGGTAGGGGTTAGGAGCGCTGTTTGCGAACCACTCGGTGGTTCGTCGAGCAGCAACGAATCTTCAGTTAAATCCGATATATCAAGCTCATGTTCTGCTGCCGGCTCATCACCGTCGGAGTCTATATCTTCATTCTCATATTCCCTATCTTGATCTCCATTCTTATCTTTCTTTCGGGTACCCTCTCCATTTCTCTCTTCTTCTGGCCCTTCCTCGGCCCGTGTTGGTGTTTGCCCACTTTGTTGCTCATGTTGACTTCTCTTTCGTTTGCCCTGTTTACTTTTCCGTCTATGTTCAGCCTGCGTGCCGTGGGTCTCCTTCTCCCCTCTTGACAATATCGGCTGACTTTGTTGCTCTCTGTCAGACGGAACTTCATAGTCATCAACCCCAGCGTGGGCCTGCTGTGACGCTGATTCCTCTGTGGCTGGCGCCTGAGGAGGTGCTGAACCAAGCTCTGGGGACGCGCCCCTTGCATTATAACCAGGTGTGCCATAAGTCGGTTTCTGGCTCTGCCGTTTGCGTTTTCGTAACGATCGCTTGTGGGAAGATGCATTAATTTGTGCCATTAGTTGCGTCGCCGGCGGAGCCTCCTGGCCGGATAGTGGTTGTTCTTCATGTGGTGCTACTGGTTGCTGGGGACTTGGAGTTGACGCTTGATTATTTTCAGCGGTGTCTCGTTCCTGCTCCTGCATGTCGCCAAAGTCGATATTTTCGTTCGAGTCTGCAATCTGAGGAACTTTTGCCCTAGGCATCCTCCTGCCAGTTCTACCTGGGTGTAATCCGCCATCGATGGGTAGCCTGTTGCTAGAACTATTGGCATCTAGGATGTTCGAATTGATGATATTTATCAAGTCCGGGCGCTCCGGTAGGGCATTTTCCTCCGCTTCCGAAGCCTCTTCGTGTTCCTGGTTCAGCGGAGGTTGTTCATCCTCTTCAGCACTTTTAAGCGCAACTTTGCGACGAGAATGACGCTGGGGCTTGGAACCTGCGTCCGTGGCGGGACGTTTTCTCGGAGTGGGTGAGGGTAGCTTTTCATGAGGAGTATTGGCTCTATTCGATCTCGTTACCCGGCTCAGGCTGGTTGAGGATTGATCTTGCGGAATTGCATGAATGGTTGACTGTCGACTTGAGTTCGACCCTGATGCATTGATCTGTACTTCAATGCTTGGCCTAAGCGCAGAAGATGTCTTTGACTTCTCTCCTCTAGTACGTTTCCGCGGTTTTCCTGTCGCTTCAGGCTCAGCTGATGATCCACCGGCCTTACCCCTGGACCGCAACTGTACCACCATCTCGAGGTTTTGTTATTGTGCTGTGTTATCGAGAGTGCCGAACGCGCCAAGGCAGCGCGTCCACGGATAGAGACGTAATCGCGGTTTAGAGACGTAAAAAACTCTCTGATAGTCTCTCCTTTCAGCTCCTTCGATATAGAGACAAGTGCGAGACAAGCCGACAGCTTCAAGATTGAGTTGAAGTGGTGAACAACGGCGCTCAAAGCAGGCGCATGGAGGTTGGAAGGACGAAGTGGGGCGAGAGATGGAAGCTTAATGACGGGAGCTTAAAGCTGTGACTGAAAGCTCCCATGCTCCCATGAGACATGACAAATGACATAATTGTCGGGAGTTGGTAAGAATATAAATTTCATGCGACCTTGATTCTTGAAGCATTAAATAGATCCTATGTCGCCTGGCGGCCTGAGATCTTGAAACTACATTTCTACCTGTGAAGTGGTTGCATATCTGTAGGAAATTCCCAAAGTAGCCAGTCGCAATCATTGTCATGATCCCTGTATGCATATCTTCTCAAGAATTCCATGAGGCCATGTGAAGCCCATGCCTAAGGTAGGGAGCAAGAAAATAAGACCTTAATATAGGGTGTCAAAATAAACCTAGCAAATAGTTCCCTAAGTTTAGGCTAGATTTACCTGAGTATTTAATCGCTTGTGGTCAAGGTCCTGAGTTTTCTTTCCTCCCCAGCCAGAAAACAAGATCAGGCTATATTTTTGAAAGCGGCGACTGGAACTCATGGGAATTATTAGGGTGATAGACCTTCTAGGCGAACCCGTGTTTCTTCATGTTAGATTCCTAGGTAGGTGTAGTGATTGAACCTTCATGGTTGTCAATCATGAAAATATATTACTAAATTATCTCCAACCATCCAGCAGAACCAACTCAGCTTCAACCAAGCACCAACGCCCACTTGTTATTCTTACACCGTAAAACCTGCCCGATCCTCTCAAACAAGATTCCATCTTTGTTTCATAGTCAAGAAATCCTCAGCGCTGTACCCAAGGATTCGAGCCGTCATCAACATGACGTCCGCAACCCCTCCAAAACACCAGACTCTTGAGATCTTGGACCTCAGCTCCCCGCCAGCATTCACCAAACCCTCGAAGCGCATCAACGAAGGCCCCGACGTCGCACGCTTCCTTACCAGCCTCGCCTACCGCGATATAGGAACCTTCATCCTCCAGCTTAACCACGCCTTATGTCCTCGAAACCAAACGTCGTCACCCCTCCCCCGCACCTTTCCCCTCAATTCGAAACCGCCGACATCGCCGTCCGTCCAAGCTCTACAGAACCTTTTGGCAAAGGTTGAAAGCTTCATCGACCAAGCACCGCCTGACCCCGGCCCTCGACGGTTTGGGAATGTCAGCTTCCGGAAGTGGTATGCTATCTTTGAGGAGCATTTGGACGAGTTGTTGGGAGAAGGGCTCCTAGGTGAAACCCTCAAGATTGGCGATGGAAAGGCGAAAGAAGAAGTCTCTAGCTACTTACTTGGTGGTTTCGGCAGCGTTCAAAGACTAGACTATGGAACTGGACATGAGCTCAGTTTTATAGCATTTCTTGGCTGTCTATGGAAGCTGGGATACTTCAAAGATGGACAACAAGGAGGCGAGATCGAGCGCGAGATTGTCCTCAAGGTTATCGAACCGTATGTTGCCTTTGCATATACTAAAAGGGCTCTGCTAACACTCTTAGATATCTCAACGTGGTGAGGAAACTCATCCTAACCTACACTCTCGAACCCGCTGGTTCCCACGGCGTCTGGGGCCTCGACGATCATTCCTTCATGCCCTATGTATTCGGCTCTGCACAATTCACACGACCTATAAACGATGACGAACCAATGCCTTTGGAGGGATCTGTCAAAGGTGCGCCGAAGCCTAGTGACGTTACCAAAGCCGCTGTTGTGGAGGACCAGCGACAGGTCAATATGTACTTTTCTGCCATTGGCTTCATAAACGACGTTAAGAAGGGGCCGTTCTGGGAACACAGTCCCATTCTTTTTGATATCTCTGGTATTCGGGATGGTTGGGGCAAGATTAACAAGGGTATGATCAAGATGTTCAACGCCGAAGTGTTGTCCAAGTTCCCAGTTGTCCAACACTTCCCGTTCGGTTCGCTCTTCTCTTGGGATGCTGATCCAGATGCTGCAACTCCAACACAAAGCGTCCATATGGCGAACCAGCCAACCACAGCAGCTCCAGTACCTTCAGGGCCCGGAACAACTGCGCCATGGGCTCAAGCTGCCAGAATGCCAGTTCCACCGGCAGCTGGGATTCCCTATACTCGAATGCCACCACCAGGACCCAGTTCAGGGTCACTTGCTAGGTCACCTCGAGGCGCTACACCAACAAGTGAATCTACCAGCGCCCAAATCACTGTTACCAAAGCACCATGGGCTAGAGATTCTTAGGGGATACGCATACCAGTATCTGGAATTTCTGGCATATTACGGAGTTGGACCGGTCATAGATTTTCATGTGCGCATTCGTCCCCTAGAATTCCAAAAGATTCCAACCATCCATTAAATACGATTATGAGTTTAGACTATGGGAATATCTCATACCTCATGATAATCCCTTCGATTTGCAATATGATCCTAGAAAAGCACAATGTGGAACTAGAGCGAGGGAAGTATCTAGATATAGAAAGCGGGTATATTTAAAACAAAACATCGCGACACTTTTCTCTCTGGGTATCCAGCCAACTGCTAGGAGAAAAGCGAACAGACATCGACAGCGAGCCTGTCATGTAACTAAAAGACTCATGCCTCTAAGACAATTACAAACGCACATTCTTGGTACTCTAATCGATCAAGGTATCCTCATCGAGATCTTACTCCGAGAGAGGGTAAGCTTGTTCGAGTCGCATTTAAGCAGAGGCCACAGGGGCAGGAGCAGGGGCAGGAGGAGTATCCTTCTTCTCTTCCTCCTTGGGAGCCTCAGCAGGGGCCGCGGGTGTAGTCTCGGCAGCAGCTGGGGCGGGAGCTGGAGTCTCGACGACAGGAGCAGTTGCGGCAGCGGGGGCAGCAGCCGGGGCGGGCTCGGTCTTGGCAGGCTCGGGAGCGGGAGCGGGAGCTTCGGTGGCCGGAGCAGCGTCGGGCTTGGCGGGTTCAGTCGCAGGAGCTTCGATCATTAGTTCGAGTTCTTGATCATGGATATTGTCTAGATTGCGACATACGAGCAACTGGCTCCTCGGTCTTGGCTGGCTCAGCAGCAGCAACGGGAGCCTCAGGCTTGACCTCAGTTGCGGGTTTGGCCTCCTCCTTAGCTGGTTCGGCTGCAGGGGCAGCGGGTTCAGCTGCAGGAGCTGGCTCAGCTGTGGCACACGACAGTCAGTAACATGGTATTCAACAGATCGTAGGGGGAGAAACGTACTGGCGGGAGCAGGAGGAGCAGCCTCGGTCTTGGTAGGCTCGGCGGCAGCTGTGGTATCGGCAGGCTTTGTCTCAGCAGGCTTGGGGTCGGCGGGTTTGGCTTCCTCCTTGTTATCCTTCTTCTTGAAGGCGGCCTTGAGCTTGGCCTTGAGGTTATCAAGGGCGTGCAGAGCTGTTGAAGGGCTTGTTAGAGTGTGTTCTGAGGACGCTGTCGGATTGCGACCTACGAATTCCAGGCATGGTGTTTGATATAGGATTTCTGGTGATAAGAGATGGTCAGCTTAACTCTATCGCTTATGCTTCCTTGAGCTGGCTAAGCTGTTGGGATTTGCACGTCTGAAGTTGACTGAGACAGACCAGGACGATAAAGTCCACACGAAGCAGGAATCAAGAGAAAACGTACCAGAAGAAGCTTGGGAGAGTGGTGCGTGTCTTGTCAAGACAAAGGGTAGAAAGGTAGGTATCTTAGTAGTTAGAAGGTGAAGGAAGATTAAGGATAAGGATAAGAATAGAGGCGGGCAGACGGGAGATGAAACTGCTCAGCCATGACCTGTTCGTAAGTCATGTACTGTACATGACTGTACAGACACAGGCACAGAGGCAGAGCAGAGGCAGCGGTAGCGGTAGTGGGTGACATTGGATGCAATCCAACCTAATCTCAACTGAAGCATCCTTGCGCATCCAAGGATTCCAACTTGAACTGGAACTGGAATCTGAGGCAGCCACTGAAAAACAAGCATTTCCAGGGGGGGTGACAGAGGATCCACCGGATAATTTAGTGCCTAGGACAGGTATAGTTACGGGGTAGGCAATAATAAAACTTGATCTTGATTATCGGCAGATTACCCCTGGTACTTGGAGGAGTGAATTACCCAGGGGGAGGAGAGAGTCGAGACATGGATAGACTACGTGCAATCCTTATAATCTTGCATTCTTGTTGATTCTGTGATTTCTCTTGTGGAATTTTATCAGAGGTGAAACTGACACTGTAGGGGAAATGTCAAGGGGTCCAGAAGAAGACGGGAGACATGTCAGGCCTTGTGACCCTGGACGCTAAGGTAATATTGAAAACGAGACCGCCCGCCCTGACGACAGCGTGCATTGGTTAGCCGCTGGTCCACTTGTCACTCAGTTGGAGTGGCAGGTCTCTTTGAAGTTGACGAATACTGTCTGTCGTGATTGACTGTATTTCCTTGTCAATCAAGTACTTCCTGGTACATCTCCTCGAGTCAGCTTCTCAAACTTGGGCTGATAAAGTGCTCCAGCCGCTCGGTCTAGACTCGAACGACAAAAAGAGATACTACGTCTCGCTCGATATCAAGGGCTCCTCCAGTCGCATATTACCCCACCAGACAAGCTTTCTCAATGCTCCGTCGCTGCTTTAGCGCTGTGCTACCCCAAAATAGGTCACCTCTTTATCAACCAACATTCGAACTAGGTATTGCTGCATGTATTGGATGTACTGTACATGTCTATTATGTATTGCTACCTACATGATCATGAGATCGATTCTATGGTGATAGTCTCTCTGTTAACCACTCTTCCACGACCTTCTCTCCCTTTTCATCCATCACCATATCCTCCGACTCTTCCCCAGCATGTTCCATCTTTACCCTTCGCCGTGGCTCATTCTCCCACATCGAAACATCCGCATCCCAGAATCCTCTCTCCTTCAGCTCGACCATCTGGATACTTCGCTGCATCATCTCACCCAGTTCGCGCGCTTGCAGCTCTAAGCTGTTCCCCCACTGCTTCCCACTAAATGACCGGCCCGTTCTGTTCGTCGTTGTCGGTACAGGAAGTGTGTCGTACAGCAGAAGTGTCTCGGGGATCTTGAGCGTCGATTTGCGGGGCGGAAACACCAGCCTTGACATACGTGGTGTCTTTTCTTTCATATTGAACTCGGCATTCGGGTTGGTCAAGACTTCGATGGCTGCAGACTCTTCTTCCGACATGTGGTAAGACGAGGGAACTTTTATTCCTGGGTTGTGGAAGAAGAGGCTTGGGCTGGCGAAGACATCGAACATGTCGACCGTTGACTGGAAGAATATCGGTAGGTTCTGCTGAAGGTAATGCACGTATGTTCCCTCTCGAGGTCTGAAGTAGTTGGTTCTGTTATTTGCAAACTTTCCGAGATTTGCTGGGTGGTCCGGGAAAAACATGGTCCAATTGTAGATTCCATTATATGCCACCAGACCCCGGACTGCAAATGGTTTGTGCGGTCGTGATTCCGAGAGTGCCAGAGATGAGGCAAGACTTGCGCCTAGATGAGAGCCATAGACATAGATACCGCGCCTCTTGAGACCTTCGGGAGCAAGGTTTTCTACTATCCACTGATAGGCGAAGAAGGTATCGTGGATTGGCGTTGGCCAGACATCGTCGACTGGAGCAGTTTCGCGCAACTCGTCGTCAAAGGAGTTCCAACGATAGTTGATGCTGGCAAGTGGCTTGCCTTGGAGAAATCTAGGTATATGAGGAGGTTGATCGCCATCCGCGGGTGAAGCTGGGAGTTGAATGAAGAGTGGAGAGTCTGGCTGCTCGGTAATGTTGATGAGGCTATTATGAAGCATTAGTAATGGGTTCATGAGTATGAGATGATGGCTTACTCAATGCTCACATGGCCAGCTGAACCACATCGCACTTGGACACGGTCATGGCTCCGGATGCTATAGAGTCGCTGCCATGGTCTGTGGATGGGATTGGCGAGTCGCTTATGAGTAGCACGATGAAGGGCTTGGAAATGGAGACATCTTTGCATGCTGCTATAGCATTACCAATCGATATGGTAAGTAATGACTTTTTTTTTCTAAAACTTCAACAAGATTAGTCAATGGATGTCGAGAGACAATTGTTTATTTGACTTACACGCTCTGTGATGAGTGAAAACGAGAAAACGCGTGGTTTCAGAAGTCGATTCCTTCGCAGGTGATATATCAATTCAACTAACAAAACCCGGATTTCATGAGGCTGGAATCAAATATAAAGCACCAATTGAATAGAAGCACAAGATGTTCTGTCAAAAGACCAATATCGAGAACTCTTGAAAAATGCATGAGATGCGGAAGGGCTTGTTTTGGCTGAAGAGTGGAATTTGAACGTTGCATAATTCTTTAATATCATTGGCTAGACCTTGCTCACTCCACAAATGACGATCCGGCAATAACATTCTTCGTTCGAGAGGAGCTGAATATTTAGCACGAACAAAACTCACTAACGTTAGGGGGAACAATGATCGAATCAATAAACCTTGAGTAACCACTAACTCAGTCAGATGCCGTCTTTTCCTTAGATCCTGCGTTGATTCCCCTGATTTGAGCCGCTGTAGCCGCTAGATCACCACCAACTCAACCCCCGAGGAATGATATCCCTTGTCTCTGACAGGCCATGCAAGTCTCGTAAAGTTGGTTTAGCTCGTGATCAAAACCCGTTTGTTTCCCTCCAACTAAAGATCTGATCTCGCCCGACGTCATTCCAACGGGCATGTGCATGTTTATCCCCACGCCAAGAATTCTTTCTTCTGATTATCCTCCTTAAATCGATATGGATCCCTTCTTTTTGCCAAGACATATATAAGTCTTGACTTACACTGCAGAAAGCGATTATCTTATCTACAAACTATCTAGGATATGCTACCTTGTTGTCGATTCTATCCTTGACATTGGATCGCCATAGGCTTGAGATATCCTCATGGACGACGGGGATCTTGGAGATAATATCCAACAGGAGACTGACATTATTGAAGAGTCTGTCTCCCATGACAGACGTATAGGAAACGATGATGCTCATCTCGCTCCAAAGTAAGCTTCACTTCACTTCACTTCGCCTCACCTCACCTCCATCACACTATCTATACTCATCTCTGACTATTCAGCCGCTGGTGGTTTGCTTCCTCAGCATTCCCCATGATCGCCGGCACCCTCGGTCCTGTTGCCTCAGCCTTCAGTATCTGCGCTCTCGTACGCCCATGGAGACAGCACTACATTCCGAAACAGCCTCTCAAGGAGGCAGATTTTGTCGCTGACCCAATATGGCTCACCGTCATAAACGCTATCCAGCTTGGCATGGCCATCATATCAAATATCTTCCTCCTACTAAACATGACACGCCGTGTACGCTTTACTATCGCTCAGCCGCTCACTATCATCGGATGGTACATCTCTGCTATTTTGCTCATGGCCCTTCTAGCTACAGCCTCTGGACCGCTCTATGAAGGCTTTGGTCACCCCAAGAATGAGCTCATATGGTCGCAGGCCTTTTACTACGGCATATGGGCTGCTATTCTCTACTTTGTCGATGCTTCTCTTATGGTGATAACATTCTATGGAGCATCGGTTGGCCATTATCCCAACGACTTCAACTTGACGCCCAGCCAACGGACTCTCATGTTGCAGACCATCATGTTTCTCCTGTACTTACTAGTCGGGGCCGTTGTGTTTTCCAATATCGAAAACTGGAACTATCTCGACACTGTATACTGGGCGGATGTAACTCTATTTACCGTCGGTTTTGGTGATTTCACAGCTCAAACAAATCTCGGACGAGCTCTTATGATGCCATATGCTCTGGTCGGTGTCATCAGTCTCGGTTTGGTCATCGGTTCTATCCGCAGTCTTGTCCTTGAGCGAGGCAAGAAACAAGTTGATGCCAGAATGGAAGAGAAGAAACGCCGACGTATTGTCCGAACCATGACCAAGAAAGGCCAGGATGAGGTACTCGAGCCAATTCGAGAGCCACGACGACAAGACTCTATGGTTTCCCAGGGTGCACAATCAAACAATCAGCTACCAGCGACAGAATATGAGCGTCGAAAGGCAGAATTCGATCTTATGCGTAAGATCCAAGCTCAAACATCATATCGTCGTCGCTGGGTCGCCATGGGTATCTCAACTGGCGTATGGCTTATTCTGTGGCTCTTGGGCGCCTATATCTTTGTTAAGTGTGAAGAAGACTATCAAGGGTGGAAGTACTTTGATGGTTTCTACTTCTGCTTCGTCAGTCTCACAACAATCGGATACGGCGACGTGACTCCTATTTCGAACGCTGGAAAGTCATTTTTCGTCTTTTGGTCTTTGCTTGCACTGCCTACCATGACAGTCCTTATTTCAAACGCTGGAGACACCGTTGTCAAACTAATTCGTGATGGAACGCTTCGTCTTGGAAATGTCACTATTCTCCCAGGAGAGGACAACTTCAAGAGCGATCTCAAATACATCATCAACAGATGTACCTTCGGTCTGATGTATGCTAATTACACAGAGCCACCGCCCCTAAACCGGGAAAAGAAACCAGCTTCGAAGAATTCGAGCACTGATACTTCAGACTCGACGACCAAGAAGGAAGACAAACTTGACGAATACGCCCGCGGACGACCTAGACGCTCAGAAACTGGAGAAGATGACGACCCAGCAGATCCGCGACCAGGCCAAGACCGGAATAATTCAACTTTCACAGCTCGAGTTCGTCGTTCTCTATCTCGCCTTAGAGACGCCCATGAGGAGTTGCCTACAGGAACAAACCTCCACTTCCTCCTCATTTCAGAAATCCAAGTCCTCATGAACCACCTCAAGTCATCTAAGCCACACAAATACTCCTTTGAGCAGTGGGCATGGTATCTCAAGCTTATTGGCGAGGATGAAAGCAATGCCGAAACACATGGGAAAGCGCAGCCAAGCGGTCGGCATCATCATCACAACCACCCTCGTCGCAAGAAAACAAATGAGACTGCTGAGGGTGTTGAAAAGGACGTGGTCTCTGACGATACAACGGCTTGGTCGTGGGTAGGCAATCGGAGTCCGCTTATGGGAAGTCAAGAAGAGACTGAGTGGATTTTGGATAGACTACTTGAAAGGCTTCGGGAGTCTTTATCTGTCGAGGGGAAGAAACAGGTCACGGCTGATGCAAGGAGAGCTCTTGGGGCAGATCGTCGACGGTCGCCAGATGATACATATCATAGGAAGAAAGATGGAAAGAAGGAAGATGTATGATACCCAAATAGGTTACTCAATTAGTTCTTGAATATCTGCATATGTACGTTGTTAGTACTTGTCCATGAAATCCATAGGACAGAATCAAGATTATAAATGGCTTTTGAGAAAGATTCACGTATGGCTCTCATATGTTGCTCTCTAGTTTGACCAACCATCCTGTGCAGGACTAGATTACCTGCAATTCCTTTTGTTTAGTGCCGATTCTTTGTATTTTTATCATTTGTGAGTAGTTACACTGGTCCAATAATGATATTATCGATTATCATACAAAGCCACCCGTCGTTCTGTAGCGATATTTTTGCTTCCTAACATCATACAGCTTCAATGGGTCATCCATTGAAGGTCCTCAACTTCTCTGGTCATTATACAACGTGTTGTTACAATGCGGTGCGATGTTCTTATATCTTAGTAGTTTCCTCCAAGAACAAGTCGTCTGTTGCGCTTGATTACCTGGTTCAATCCCTTTTCCAACTTCTCAGTCTCTCGTCGAGCAGCCGCAAGGGCGCCCTCTGCATCTTCGACGCTCATCAAGGGCATACCACCGACACCCATGCCGAAGTTCTTTCCACGCTCTTCACTCGACATTCCGGCTGAGCTGAAGTCCTGCATCGCCCGTGCTCCATCAGGGGGGCTGTAAATACCCACACCGGCAGCGGCATCGGGGCCATAGAAGTAGGGTGCGAGGGAGTTGAGACTCGCAGCAGCAGCATCCTTAGTAGGGGATGCTCCCTTGGGAAATCCCATGTTCGTAGCACCTAGGTTGAGGCGAGGGAGAACGTACTGGTTGATGTAGCTAAGCGCGTCCTCTCGCTGAAGCTTTCCGATGGGGTCTTGAGACTGGAGCTGGGCAGTGGCGGGGAAGATGTTGGGACGTCCATTGGGAACAGCCCGGCCCTTGATGAGAGAGAATGCTCCACTGCCAGGCTGATGTCTAGGGGCAATGAACGATCCGGGGTTCTCTGCCGTGTTGGCAATGGCAGCTTGAAGTTCTAGAAAGGCGTCCTCTTCCTCAGGGGTCAGACCACGTATGCAGTCACCATTAGGGGTAATGAGCATGCGGCTGCCATCAACGTGGAATTGCTTTCGGACAGGCTTTCCTGCGCGCAGCGCTGCAAGATCCTCATCTTGAATTTCTCCACATTTGCAAGAGCAGTCTTTGCAATGCTCAGCCTTATTGGCGTTGTTCTTAGCAGCACTGTAATCGGTGCGAGATGAGCCGTTGGCGATGGGCTTAAACAGCTGGAGTTTATCGACACTTGAAGCCCAGAGAGTGTTCTTAATCTCGGAAAAAACCGACGCCGGATCAGGCTGTGGTCTTGCAGGTGGCTCTTGGGCATCAGGGGTAGACGCCTTAGGAGACGCTGGAGGAGGAGAAGGTTGAGTCTCTACCTCCTTTGTTTTGCCCTTGGATTTGATTGACTTCTTTTGAGAAGCCTTGCTCTTGACAGGCTTCTCTTCTGGCTCTCTTTCGAACTCCTTGACAGGCTCTTGTTGAGACGGTGGCTGGGATGGCTCGTCTGCGGGAGTCTCGGGGGTAGTAGAAGCATCAGGCTGGGCCGCCTTAACAGGCTTTTCCTTCTTCTGTTTCTTCTTCCGTCCCATGATAGGAGCATGTACCTCTGCCTCTGCAATAGGAGCCTCAGCGATCAACTTTGTTTCTTGCTTCAAAACATCTTTTCGTTGCTTTCGCTGTTGACTCTTGGTTGTGGTTCTTACCGCAGCAGAACCAATCCTGCTGGGGGGTGGCGAGCTTGCCCGAGAATGGGTCACAGAGGCAGACACCACCGAGGCGTTGTCACTAATCATCTCGCTGGCAGGTGTATCTGGCCTGTAACTACCGGAAACAGCCCTAGAAGTGCCTGACAACGCAACCGATGCCATGGTCAAGGCAGGAGAAGCAGGAGGAGGTGCCTCAGCCTTGGGAGTTGCAATGACGCGCAATGTCTTTGGTGCTGTGCGTGTGACAGGGGATGCAATTGCGGCAGACGAGGGTGTAGGCAAAGGAGGAAAGGCTGCTGAGGTCTCTGTTGTTGACTTCTCAGTTGTCGCAGATAGTTCACTGGTCTTCACAGCCACATTCTTTCCAACCTGAGTGTTGACAGCAATGGGCTTCTTGTCTGCTGCTTGGGACAATGATGCAGGTTTCGCTTCCTGGGCCTTGGTCTCCTTAGCCTTGACTTCTTGAGCTTTGGTCTCTTGAACCTGGGCCTCCTCCGCTTTGGTTTCCTGAGCCGTGCTCTCTAGGTTGGCTCCAGCCTTGGCCATCATTCTGTCCACAATCCTCTCAGCATGGCGTTTGGCCTTTGGTGTAGCCTTGGGTGTGGGCGTTGCGGGTCGACTCTTGTTCTTCGATGCATCCAAAGCCGGAAAGTCCTCATCCTGTAAGAAACTTGCCTTCGTAAGCTTCGGTTGCGATTGTGTCGTGATTTCCCGCGAGAGTCCGCTTTCGGCCGCCAGAGACTTGATGTTCTTCTTTGCTTCCGAGACAGGTGTCGCTGGCTTTAGCTTTGCAGGCGACTGGTCAGGCGTTAAAGAACCTTGTGAGAGTCCAGGGGGTGGCATTCTAGGCAACGCTGGCACAATATTGGTGAGTTTTGCATGACCTTGAGTAGATGGAGGTCTTGATATGTTGCCTGGTAGTCCTGGGGGTAACGACAAGCCCGGGGGCACAGATGTGCGACCTTCCAAACCAATTGGCGGCAGTATAGGGTCGTCAGAAACTAGAGCGTCGACAGAATTCGTAGCCTCGTCCAGGGATGGGAGCTCATCATCTGAACGCTTGTTAGCACAGGTTCAGTCACTCGGTCTGAATGTAAAGCAAAACACAAAGACTACGCTACGAGAGCAACACCCCATTTATATACAAGACTTTGGGGACAGGGTCATGCTACGGCGACCATCGTCTTCCACGGGGGACAACGAGAAGAACAGGCGATTTGGAGAGAATAGAGGGTATTGCTATTTCTGACCAAGGATACCGCCAAACCTAGGCGGATGAAATCGACATTTGTTAACATACATAGGGGGCTTGTGGAAGACGATGATGGCTTGCCTGACGTGAACCCCCATGCGCGGTCATCCATAGACCGGTAAAAGTCGGAGGAAGGAGACTCGAGATATTCTCTCGTCGTCCTCCGTTTTCCCCAATAAAACATAGATGACGCCTGATGCAAAAGCTGACCGCCCAGAGCAGCATTAATCACGCAAAGGTTGCTGAATCAAGATGCGCTTGACACTCGTGTCCCCCGAGGACGATGAAAGGCAGCTTTTCTCGCCCTGACCCTGATTTCCGAAGAACGCCCCCCTTTGTGCATGAAGAAGAAGAAAAAGCCGATACCGATGAGAGAATACCAAACATAACCCTCCCAGACTGCAACAACTCCGAGAAACATCAAAACTACCACCTTCCATAGCCTGCATTATACATCATGTTGTGACTGTACCCACCTTGACTCTGACCGCCAAACAAGCCCTGTCCGACTCCGGCGCTGCCTTGAGACTGGTGCTGCATTCGCGCTTGCAAGATACTCGGGTCTGCAAGATCTACTAAGCCACTCCCCCCGGAGGAGGAAGTGTTAGCATGTCTGTGCTTCTTTCCCTTCTTCTTCTGCTTAGAGCCCATGTCTTGGTACCCTCCAGGTGTATTACCATAGAGAGGCGGCAGGAGCCCGGAAGAAGGGGCTGGGGTGGAGGTAGAGGATGGTGGGTACTGGTTTGAATAAGAAGGAATCATAAACTCACGCTTTCCCGCGTCGTGGGACTGGTTGTTAGCAGCCCGACCGCGACCGATTAAACTCTGAAGAAGCTCACTCGAATTGTCCTTGGGGGCGCCAAAGCCCTGTCCACCAAACTGACCGAACATGCTAGGGGGAGTGCCGGTTGACTTAAGACCAGGAGGCGGCCCGGGCATGGAGGCACCGTAAAACTGATTGCTGCTCTGCGACGGAAACGTGTTGGGCATCATAGAAGATTGCTGGGCCATGATACGCGGGTTGGCTGCGACCTTAACGTTGGTAGAAGAGCTCGCGTTGTCGTTGGCGAAGCTGAATCGAGAGGACTGACGGTTGTGGCCTTGACCTTGGCTTTGACCCTGATTCTGGAAAGCATTGCTTTGGCTGGTTATACCAGGGGGGGCATCGCCAAACCCGCCCTGAGATCGAAGATACAGCTGCTGCGGCGTCATAGACCGCGAACCAGGGTTCGCCGAGCTCTGGCCAAAGGGTGAAGCACCGGTGAGAGAAGGTCCAAAGAGGCCGTCAGTAGAAAGTCGCTGAATAGGAGGCTGAGTACTAGGTCGGCGATCAAAACCTCGGTTGTCGCTAGAAGTGTCACGGTCCTCAGGCTCTCCTCCAAGAGCAAGGCTGCCACCGGTCTCAGGTTCTCCTTCTGATGGCTCACGAACCTCGGGTTGCTCTTCCTGTTCTCCGGTCAAACGTGAATCCTCCTCTTCTCGCATAGCCCGGCGCTTCTCACCACCACGAGGATCGAACATAGGTGGGTATTGGTCTTCGTCAAATTCAGGAAAGATAGGCATGGGACAATTTTGCAAGGTCTTGTAAATCTCCTTAAGCCATGTATCAGGTGACTCTTGAGCTTGTGCGGGTGATTCAGGCTCCCGGGTCCTAGATGATGACGGTCCAGCAACTGACTCCGATTGCTGAGGTTCCTCTTCCTCCAACTCATCCTCGTCTTCCTCCTCGACTGCTTCTTCTGGTACAGGCTCTGCGGTGACAGGCTGAGCTGTGGAAATAGCAGGGCTGGAAGCAGCACCACTAGTAGCAAGACTGCCTCTGCGACTTCGCTGTGGATTACGGGCCCAGTTGGCTGAGGAAGGTAGAGCTGATCCATCGGCACCATTATCAGAACCCTCTTTACTAATGGAGCGTGTCATCGGATGGGATACGACGGGGGGCGGCGTAGGATGAGATATCTGTTGTCGGGAAGCCGACCGCGAAGTGCCTCCCGGGAGAGGCCGTTGAGACCCTATACTGTTCATAGAGGACAAATCTTGTCGTGAGTAACTGTCCTCCTCATCGCCTTGTTCATGCAAGAACATGCAACCAGGATTGCCGCATTTTTCATTCTTCAACCAAGCTGAACAGTATTTCGTCGTGCCGTGCTGCGCCTTCAGGACTCGATCACCGTTGTGGGATCCGTGCACAGCTTGGATGCACCGCGTCGCTTCTTCCGGACGTTCGAAGGTCACGTAAATGCCAAGCGACTGATGTTGGCCATCAGAGCTCTTTCGGTTACTAATGGATATCTTTTGGATGTTTCCGTACTGGCCGAAGAACTCCGGCTTTCGTAGCGTCTTGAGAAGTTCGTCCTCTCGAACGGTCGGTGCAAGACCCGTGATATAGACCAAGTTCTTTTGGACAACACGAACGCCGATCAGATTCTTACGGTTCTCCTTCTCGGCTTCGCGTTTCTGTAGTTCTTTTTGTCGTTGATCCAGAGCTCGCTTCTTTTGGTTCTTTTGAATATTGGCCCGAAACTCGGCGACTCTTGGGGGTTGGTCAGCACAGCACCATGGTGGCAGAGGGTTTGTCATACTCTTCTTGTGTAACAACTTTCCACTGTATGGTTTTTTCGTCGTAAGGTCGTCGGCAAGCAGGGCAAAGGCCGTTCATATTATTCTTGATGTTGTTAAAGCAAAACTGGCACACCTGTAACCTCAAAGTTAGCAAACGTGGCCGGAAGGTCAAGCTTGGCTGTCAAGATATTATTCTTATCATACCTGGTATCCACAAGGACAAGGTCTGAAATTCCTATCCGAAAGATCAAACTCTTCGATGCAGAGAGGGCTATCAATAGGTCAGCTTTGGGTACCAAACATTACCCAAGGAGCAGTGCGGTGCGAGCGCCACCCCCAGGCGGGCGGTGAATCATACCAGGTATCCTCCTCATCTTCTATGAATGAATCTTGTGGCGCCATTGTGAGAAGTTATAATTAAGGTGAAAGGCAAGAAATAGTAAGTTCGAGATGCGACGGGCGGAAATGGATATGTGAGTACAAGGAGAGAACGATGTTTGGTATGCATCGAGGCTGCGGGAAAGTGAAAGATGAAAATACAGCTAAGCTATTCTCGGTCTAGCTTTCCAACTCGAATCACGTGTGTGCATCTTCGTCATTGAAGGTCGACAAAGGACACGTAAAATAGCGGGGTACCCGACTCTGTGTGGTAGAAGCACTGGAGGCAAAGTATAGCGTTATTGTCGGCTCAAGTACGGGAAATCTCATTCAAGCCTCTGCCGCTAAGATTCTCGAGCCAATGCTTGCGGCATCATTACCAACACCGTAAGGTATTTCGTCTCGACGACATCTTGCATCGCCAATTGGCCTCGAATCGTCACACAACCGGCCATGGCGACAAGCATTTCTCGAAGCAGGGCGTTGGCCTCAGCTCTACGACCCGCGAAGCCCTCCGTCCAGCTCCGTAACGACCAAGCAATCCGTTGCTTGTCCAGCACTGCCCGTCAATATGTCGCAATGCCGAAGGAGTCTCCCAACCTGCGAAAGGCCCCCCGAGATCACCCCAGCGTCCTGAAGGCCCCGATCGTCAACCCTGCCGACAAATATCAGAGCAAGTCCGACAACATGCACCGTTATGGTGCCTGGTTGATGGGTACTCTGCCCAAGTACATCCAGCAGTTCTCTGTCTGGAAGGACGAACTTACTATCTATATCTCCCCCTCGGGTGTCTACCCTGTCTTCAGCTTCTTGAAATGTTAGTAACATGTCAATTGGCTACGAGGCAACTACTAAAACCTGACAGACAACACTGCCGCTGAGTTCACCCAGATTAGCACTATCACTGCTGCGGATTACCCCACGCGCGAGAACCGTTTCGAAATCGTCTACAACCTTCTTTCGGTCCGTCACAACTCTCGAATTCGTGTCAAGACCTACGCCGATGAGGCTTCTCCTGTCCCCAGTGTTACCGGACTCTTTGATGGTGCCAACTGGTACGAACGAGAGGTGTACGACCTTTTCGGTGTCTTCTTTGCCGGTCACCCCGATCTCCGACGAATCATGACCGATTATGGTTTCGAGGGTCACCCTCTGCGAAAGGACTTCCCCTTGACTGGTTACACTGAGATCCGATACGATGAGGAGAAGAAGCGTATCGTCACCGAGCCTCTGGAGCTCACCCAGGCCTTCCGTAACTTTGAGGGTGGTTCCAGTGCGTGGGAGCCCGTTGGAGCCGGACAGGACCGCACACCCGAGTCTTTCAAGCTGCCAACGCCTAAGCCTGAGGAGAAGAAGGAGGAGCCGAAGAAATAAAAGGGTCCATGTTCACCCCAAGCTGTATAAGATCCAATGTCATTTGTTAGAAATATCACCTGGTTTTAGCATCCATCCAATCCAATCCAACCCGTATATCCGCCCATCTATTTTGGTGGTGCAGTCGTCATCCATAGTGTCATAACAGATACGCACGCAAGGCGCTAACTTGACAGCATCGCCCAACGTGTGAAAATGGGTGGTGTACACCGCTGGCTGATAACTGACAGTGCCGAGGAATGCGCCTGTTGATAGCGTTACATGTGGTCCGGGAACCCGTCACGTCCCCTGGGTGCGGGCAAGGAACTGATTGGCACTACTTTAGGAAGCGAAGCTGACAATCTTAGACTGATTTGCCATTGCGCTCTCCGAGGAAGCACGACATGTCAGATTTCATCATATTATATGCGGCTCCTCGATAGATTCGTATTCTAGTCTACTATTCCGTCCCCCTTCCCCATAAAAAGCATAACGAAGTATAATTTATATACCTAGAGCTCTCCCCCCCTGCTCAATTAACTTCCTTCTTTCATACTCAATCTTCAAACCACTATTAATCTTCAATTCACTGTTGTTTCCGAGCCATCTACATACACAATCAATCTGAAACACATTTTCTTATTTCACTCCTTCAACCAATCATGTCCAGTCAGACCAACAGTGCAGCCAGCAGCCCTATCAAATCGAGGAGAACCTCATCAACAGCATCAAATGAGAGTACCCTCAGCCATCACGAATTGGAGTACATGTCTCTACGCGATGAGAACCTCAGCTACGAAGATGATGTCGACTTCCACATCTTCATTGATGCCATGGACCGTGTCGACTCGCTTGTCACAGAAAGAGTTCCCCGAAGAGGACGAAAGGAGTCAATAGGCCGCCTGTTCAACGGACTCAACAACAAACTACGCCGAGACAGCACATCAGGACCGGCAGCAGTGCTAGAATGAACTTGACGCCAAAGGCTCCATCAATGATGTCGTCTTCTCGCTACCCCTTACAGCCAAGCCATCAGGATTCGAGCTTGGACCATGGTTCGATCTTACCTACACCCGAATAAGAGATTATCTACGGTATCTGCATGTACGATGAGTTATTAGGACCGCAATTGGAAAAGGTGTTTCTTCACTTACGGGCAATGAAACTTTCATTTTCTTCTTCTTTTCGCCTGGTTATTCACAGGATGTACAATATTACCTTCCTACCCAGCCGTGCCGTTCGTTAGACTCGGCCGATAGTCTACAAGCCGCAACTTTATTATATCAACGCGCAATGCAACATTCCTTAACATGCCGAAAATGCCTCTCCTTGGGAATAGATCGACTTCTTTATGCTTTTCTAGACTTGCTTTTTTCCAGCTGAACGAAAAGGTGAGAACGCTCATGACGAATTCTTGGAACAGTTTTGCCTCCACCAACGCCATTTGCCGCCAAGGAGTCAGGAGTAAGGAGCAAAAATGTTGGGATTGGAGGAACAACAATGAACCCACAGTCGCTCATTTGACCTGCGTCACTTTTTGTCTATTATTCCTGGTGTTGGTCTGCTCCGTGTATGGAGTCAAGTTATCAACACCATATCGCACGACACAGATAATGCAGATGCCAAGGTTGTTCCTGTTGGGCCGTTTTGGGCTGAGAGCCACAACGGTGGAGCGTTGTAAATAAACTTCAACCACATGCTGTAAACTCTGAGACGGTTTGAGTTTATCACCATACGATACGATATGGACCCAGTGACTCAAGCACGATACTTCTCCCATCGGCATTCTGAACAACCCTTGTTTCTTCAACTGGCCGGTTTAGGAAACCATCAGCCTGACTACCGAACCAATAGCAAGATCAGGACAGAAGAAGGTGCCTTGACGTCGCCCTGGGCCTCAAAGCTGCATAATATGTGTTTGCATATAAACAAGAATACAACTTGGGTTCGATTATGAGGTATTCGTCATTGTCCTACGTAGACAGATAGTTGACGCAGTCCTCTCTTCGCTCTGGGGGCCATATAAGCGCCGTCCCCCTGATTTATGAGCGCGTAGCTGATCATTTTTAGGGTCCATTCCGATTTGACCAGTAATGGCATGGTTCACAATGTTAGGCTAGGCTTCTTATAATCCTCTCGGCTTCTTTGCCCACTGATCTTGATCAATACGCAGGTATCACCATGCACATGAATTCATTGACAAGCTACTCATGTCATATCATGGATCATGTTCGGCTTTTGAACAAATGAAATGTGCCAATCTTCATCTTATGGGCCCCCATGATTTGTCCTTTTGTATAGTCCGCAGTCACCGTGCCATACAATGACATTGAGATGGTGGATCTAGTATCAAGCTTTGCAAACGAATGTTCGAATAGATAAGTTCTAGTTCTTGGATGGCTGCCTACATCTCACCTATACCCACCTAGAAACCTTACTGTAAAACTCAAAGTCTCGAGGCTTTGATAGAACGCCTCAGTTCTCCCATAACTTCACATCTGGAACGTCCGACACAGAGCCTTCTGAACAAGTCTGTTCCGTTATGATAGCATTTCGTAAGTTCTTAGGTATCCCACGTTATTCAATCTATCGTCCAACTTAATCGTTTTGCTGCCGGTTCCTTTCTATAAGGCTTAACTTTGTTAGAATCCAAGATAGAGAATAATACATTAGTTACCCTCGCACCATTCCCGTCAGTGCTTAGGCAGTGAGTTTAAGGCAACTGATAGGTTAGCTCTGTGCCTAAGAACTCTAAAGATTCTAGGAAATATTAGTGCACGTATATAAAGCCTTGAAATATGAAATGTGCCTGTACTAATCAGGTGGTCGTCGGCGAGGCACGTTTGAAGACGGTGCTTCGGGCAGTAAAGGAAGCACTTCACTCGCGGAAACTTGAGGAAGATGTCAGTTATCAAGGCACGTATAAATCTTTCTTGTGTTAAACCGGATATAGAACATCATTAAACAATAAAGTGCGCATAGTTGACAGGACGAAATGCTTCGCATTACATTTAACCATGCTCAAGGACGCTTCCAACATCATACACTAGCAGTTCTATCTCTATTAGATCATATCCTACAGCTTCATACCTCATGCTGTTCCTGATCGTTGTTGACGACACCATCAACAACAACAGTTCCAAGACATATATGTCCAGCACCTTGAGTATTGATCTCCCAAGGAAAACGAGCTATTTTCTCCTCCCATGCCAGACAGTCCGTCGCTTCTTCAAAGATAAACGCTCATCCCGGTGCTCCAACAACAAATAACTCCACCATACATTGAAAAGACTGACAGCGCAGCGAAAACAGGAAGACCAAGAGAGGCTCACACAAGATTGTCTCCATGCCAGTCTCGTAGCCATTCTTCTTTCACAAAGGAGAAAAGGAAATTGGAAGTGTATGTTTGCAAGCCTGTTACGCCCTCGTGCGCTCGTCTTCCGGAACTCCGCCATATGCTAGGGCTGATTGAAAACGCTGCACGCTGTCTGAGGCACTTGCCCCGGCAGCTAGTGATAGTTGGTGATGATAAAAACATTAACATATATAATGATCAACTCTGCGAATGAGCTTTGCACAACTCCTCGGCCTGTCACCACATATCCTCTCGCCCATCCTGCCGACGATCGTTCTCATTGTCATGGTACTGATGGTAGTATTCCTTAGATCCT